GATCTTAGACCTTTGTTGTTTTTAAACACAGTTGCTTATGATCTATTTTAAAAGGCAGAATACAAAACTGACTCTACCCTATCATTACAATAATGGTATGCACTGAGGCTTGAAGAGATTATAGGAAAACAGAATTTTTAATTGTGGTGGAGGTAAAAAACACTTTTTTCTTCTGTTCCAATTCATGTTTTGTTTGCCTATGCAACGTATTATTTTTTAAGTGCCCAATGTGGGGCTCCAACTCACAACCCTGAGGGTAAGAGTCGCCTGCTCTACTGACTGAGCCAGCCAGGTGTCCCTGCCTATACAACATTATTTTTAGTCTTATAAACCTTCAAATTTTCCCTAAATCCTAACTTCTCATTTTAGCATTAGATAGAACATACCCTACATTGAGCCAGCTGTTTAATATCCGGTATGACTTAGGAAGTCAGTACATAAAGTTCCACTCTGATTAAAAAAAAGAATCAGCCCAAATAGTGAACTCTTATACCAGTACCATTTATTCAGAAAAAAAAAAGAGAAAAAAAGTTTAAGGTTAAACAGCTGACATGTTTCACTAAAACATTCTTTGCTTCATCAACTGTCTTTCTCATCCACTTCTACTTGACACCATTACACATTACATCAATCCCTTTCATTTGGGAAAATGTTAAACACTATTTTAAGAGGAAGAAAAGTACATCTGGTCCCACTGGCACTACGCCATGAATTATTTTTATTTATGGCTTTTGCCTAAAAATATTCTTCCCTAATCTTTAAAATCTGGAAAAAAAAGAATGCTTTCATTCCCAAGAGTTAAATATCCCATGAATAAAGCCTCTTGTACATACTATTTTTTAAGAACATTCATACAATCCTAATTAGAAATACCAAATAATGTGAATCACGTAATAGAAAATACTTCATGTAATGTTATCTGTAAATTTTATTCTAAATATTAATGTTATACTTAATAAAGTACAATCTATAGGTATTATGTTACAATGTTTTATATGGTAACTTCAACCAGTTCCTAATGAGTAATTCTAATCTGCTTCATAATATACAGGAATAAGAAGTAAACCCATGTAATTAGTGGTAAAGGAACACGGAGCTTTCAAATGATTCAAAAAACACACACACACACACACACACAGAGAAAAAGAGTGATAAAGCAAATGTAGTAAAATGTTAACAATCGGGGATTCTGAATAAAGGGAAAATGAAAGTTCTTTGCATTATTCTTGCAAAATTTTTACTTTGAATTAATTTTAAACGTACAAAAGTTACCCCAGAACCTCAATGAGTCACATGGCTAAGAAAATGAAGTTGATCGTCCAGTTGAGTAATTCCCATTAGTACAAAATAGACATGTCCCTCCAATATCTAAAAATTTATTCATAAATTATATACAGGTACTTACTATACTGCTAATATATTACACGTATACAACATAAATCACACATTAAAAAGTAGGTATTTTTTTTATATATATATTTTTTAAGATTTTATTTATTTATTTGAGAGAGAGAGAATGAGAGAGAGCACATGAGAGGGGGGAGGGTCAGAGGGAGAAGCAGACTCCCTGCCGAGCAGGGAGCCCGATGCGGGACTCAATCCAGGGACTCCAGGATCATGACCTGAGCCGAAGGCAGTCGCTTAACCAACTGAGCCACCCAGGCACCCAAAAAGTAGGTATTTTAAAAGGATAAAGTTAAAAAGCAAATCCAAAGAGAAGGAATGATCTTGCTCCACAACTGTGAATTCATCCAGTACACAGTAACTCCCAAATCTTTTCTAATTCAACCTGTACTCTGAACTCCAGATCTCATTTCCTCGTACCCACAAGATTTCTAAACCCGAGGTGCCTATCAGAGAACCAACCATAACACAGGCTAAACTGAGTACCTTTCCCCAGGAACCTGCTTTTACTCTGGCTTTCCCCTTCGTGCTAACAGTGTCTGATTGCTCAGTGTAGTCCTCCCAGTAAATTCTTTCTCTTTCCAGCCCCTATACTGCCCCCCCCCCAAGATATTACCAAGTTCTGCCCCCTTAAACTCTGAGTTCCTTTCTGTCCTCTTTAATAAAATCTACTGCTTCTCGGGCGCCTGGGTGGCTCAGTTGGTTGAGTGTCTGCCTTCAGCTCGGGTCATGGCCCCGGAGCCCTGGGATGGAGCCCCACCTCAGGCTCCGTGCTCAGCGGGGAGTCTGCTTCTCCCTCTACCTGCTGTTCCCCCCGCTCATGTTCTCTCACGCGCGCTCTTGCTCTCTCTCAAATAAATAAAATCTTTAAAAATCAATCAATCAATCCACTGTTTCCTCCACAGGGGACCATAACAGTGGATTACGAGAGCAGTTTCTTCATGAAGAGTTTTCAAAGCCTCCAATCTCAACAGCTTCCAACCCATTCATCACACTGAAGCCTGTGGGGTTTTTCTAAAACCCAAAATCAACTAAGCCCCCTACTACTCTCTCCCTTGTTATGGATCCCCATCACTTACGAGATAAAGGCCACACATCTAGCACAGTAAACTTGGCCTATTACGACAGACTCTAGCCCACTTCTCTGCCTATTTGTCCTCAGTTCTAATCTTTTTTTTTAATGTTTTATTTATTTATTCATGAGCGTCAGAGAGAGAGAGAGAGAGAGGCAGAGGCAGAGGGAGAAGCAGGCTCCCCGCCTAGCAGGGAGCCCGATGCAGGACTCGATCCCAGGACCCCGGGATCATGACCCGAGCCGAAGGCAGACGCTCAACCATCTGAGCCACCCAGGCGCCCCTCAGTTCTAATCTTGTTGAACTGTCACAACTACATTCGAGTACCACGTTTTCTCAGGCCTTTATGCTTTTACACGTTGCTATCACTGCCTGAAAATTCCATCCTTCAGCATTTCCCTGAAGAACTCATACTCAACTTTCAAGTCTCAAATTCAAATGCCCTTTCCCCTGGAAGACATTTCCTCACCAGGATCACCAGGAAACTCCAAGGCTCTATTCATTCAGCTCACTAGAGTATGCAGGACAAACAATACACTGTATTGCTCTTTAAAGTCTCAGAATTTGATAAATAACCAAATGCTTAATACTTGCTGAGCTCATATCAGTGGGGGGAAAGAAGCACTTTTTAATAAACACCACTGGGATAACCAGATAATCCTAAGAAAAAAGTAAAACTGGATCTATTGTTCACACTGAACACCAAGATAAAATCTAAATAGATGAGAATTAAGTATAAAAAATGAAGCCATATAAGTACTAGAAGAACACCTGATTAAATTCCTTCCTCACCTACGAGTGAAGAAAGCTTCCTAACATGATTCAAAAACCACAATTCTAGGGCGCCTGGGTGGCTCAGTTGGTTGAGCAACTGCCTTCGGCTCAGGTCATGATCCCAGGGTCCTGGGATCGAGTCCCACATCAGGCTCCCGGCTCAGCGGGGAGCCTGCTTCTCCCTCTGACCCTCTCCTTTCTCATGCTGTTTCTCTCTCACTCGCTCTCCAATAAATAAATAAATAAAATCTTAAAAAAAAAAAAAAAACCCACAATTCTATGTGTGCTTGGCTGGCTCCATCAGTAGAGATATGACTCTTGATCTCAGGGTCATAAGTTTCAACCCCACATTGGGGGTAGAGATTACAAAACAAAAACAAAACAAACAAAACAAAACAATTCTGTATCTGACTAAATAAAAATAAATGTCTGGACAGCAAAAATACCATAAGCAAACTAAACACATTTACTACAAGATCAGTAAAAAAACATACACTATCTCCTATTCTCAATTATACCCGAGAGAGCAATGGGTTGTTAAAACAAAAAGGTTAGTGATGAAATAGGAACACCCAAATCAGAAACTTTTTTTTTTTTCTTTTTTAAGATTTTATTTATTTATTTGACAGAGAGAGGGAACACAAGTAGGGGGAGTGGGAGAGGGAGAAGCAGGCTTCCCGTGGAGCAGGGAGCCCGATGCGGGCTCGATCCCAGGACCCTGGGATCATGACCTGAGCTGAAGGCAGACGCTTAACCGACTGAGCCACCCAGGTGCCCCAGAAACTTGAGATTTTAAAAAAAAAGGTCCATCTATAAATTCAGTGGAGGAAGCAAACAGACTGGAAACTGCAAAAATCCAAATCAGAGAATCAGAAGACAAAAATTATGAGAAAAGCTACAAGTAATTCCTAGAATCCTAATGTTTGCACAAATAGAATTCAAAAATATAAATGAAGGAATACAGGATGGGAGAGAAGACTAATAGACTGAATGTTCCCTGAGCTAAAGAAACATTACTGAGTCGTCAGATCATGACTTGTAACTAGTCATATTTCTGTCATATTTCTGAATTTCAAAGATCAGTAAAAAAAAAAAAAAGGGGGGGGGGAAATCAAGTATCAGATTTTTCTCTACAAAATCAAATGTTAAGGAAAGAACAAAACCAGGGGCACCTGGCTGGCTCAGCTGGAAGACATGCAACTCTTGATCTCCAGGTCGTGAGTTCAAGCCCCATGCTGGGTGTAGAGATTACTAAAAATAAACAAACTTAAAAATAAAAAGAATAAAACCTACATATTTCAAAAGGAAAAAAAGCATAACCCAGTATTTATATACCAAACCAAACTATCAAAGTATCAATTGCAAGGACAACAGAATTATATTTCACACAAGCTCAGAAAATCTTACCGACACAAGATAAAAATTCCACAAGTATCCTAGCCACAAGAATTCAATCAGGAGAAAGAATGGAGAAGACCTGGTATAGCAGAGACTACAAGGAAACTACAACATAGTAAAATGTACATAGTTAAGTCTATAAATAGCTATTGTGATGTTTCATGCAAATGTTAAATGACTCCTGAAAGTGGAGCTTCCTACACTTAAAAAGCAATAATAATCTATAGCTAAAATTCAGTTGAGGCTCTTTGTTTATTCTACAGGATAGTAGCAATAAAGGAAAGAGCTGTAGGGTGCACCTGAGAGCACAGAAACGGCAGATTCCCCAGTGTTATAAGCTGATGTACTTACCGGGAGTTTGGTGAAGGCCGGGTTGGTGACATGCTTCCCAAAGGCATCTTCCTGGAACTGAAGAAGCTGTACCACCAGCCCAGCCAGCGTTTTGTTGGTAGGAGCATCCGCATGAACATACTGTAAGATAAAGATGAGGACTCAAAAACTGGGACAATCGTGCAGAAGAGAATGGTAGCTTACTTCCTATTACCTACTAACACTGGCCAGGTGACAGATTTGCACAGGTCTGAGCCATGGTCTTTGCTGTAAAGAAGCTTACAAAAATACTGGGTACAGTGGGGAGGGAAAGTTAACAGGTCTCAGGAGAGAAACCATGCCCAAGCAATGAATCCACGTCATCTCGTGTGCACCTGCACCTAAAGTAGATGGTGAGATTCTGAACCTCAAACTTGAGCCTGATACTATAATCAGATGAGACCTATCAGCAAATGTATTTTTTAAGTGGGATGAATATAAATAACTTGTGGCCAGAGAGCAGACTGTATTGTTTTTAAAACAGGCCTACAAATTTCTTTGATACTCCTCTCATCAAGAAATAGGGTGTACGCCCTTCTTTTGCTGAATGAATACCATCCTTGGGGCGCCTGGTGGCCCAGTCGTTAAGTGTCTGCCTTCGGTTCAGGTCATGATCCCAGGGTCCTGGGATCGACCCCCACGTCTGGCTCCCCGCTCAGCGGGAAGCCTGCTTCTCCCTCTCACACTCTCCCTGCTTGTTTCCTCTCTCACTGTCTCTGTCAAATAAATAAATAAATAAAATCTTAAAAAAAAAAAAAAAAGACCATCCTTAATGACTAACTTGTAACCATCAGAATGCAGTGGGGGGGGGGGGGGGAGTGATGCTGTGGGACCTCTGAGGGTAAGTCAAAAGCTTTCACGTAGTCCTCTGGGGACAGTCACCTCTGGAGTCCTGAACTACCACTAAGTCTAACTACCCTGAGGACACGATACTTTGAGGAAGCCCAGACTACATGGAGAAGCCTCTTGGAGATGCTATGGCCAGAAGCCCCAGGTGATGTCCCAGAAGACTGATAATACAACCACCAGACACATGAGCAAAGATGGTTCTAGGGGCACCTGGGTGGCTCAGTCATGAAGCGTCTGCCTTCGGCTCAGATCATGGTCCCAGGGTCCTGGGATCGAGCCCCACATCGGGCTCCCTGCTCCACAGGAAGCCTGCTTCTCTCTCTCCCACTCCCCCTGCTTGTGTTCCCTCTCTCGCTGTGTCTCTCTCTGTCAAATAAATAAATAAAATCTTAAAAAAAAAAAAAAAAAAAAGATGGTTCCAGATGATTCTGGCCCTAGCTGTCAAGTTATCCCCAATCATCAAATCTTCCCAGTTGAAACCCTAGACACAGTTCTCAGAGACAACTGTCCCCATCGTACCTTTCCAAATTCCTGACACACAGACTTTGAGCATAATAAAATGGTTGTCTTAGGGGTGTGTGGGTGGCTCAGTTGTTAAGCGGTTACCTTCAGCTCAGGTCATGATCCCAGGGTCCTGGGATCAAGTCCCACAACAGGCTCCCTGCTCCGCGGGAGGCCTGCTTCTCCCTCTCCCACTCTCCCTGCTTGTATCCCTGCTCTATCTCTCTCTGTCAAATAAATAAAATCTTTAAAAAAAAAAAATAGGTTGTTTTATGCCAAGAAGTTTTGAATATAATAAAGTGGTTATTTTTATGTGCACTTAAAAATGGTTAGGACGGGGGGGCGCCTGGGTGGCTCAGTCGTTAAGCGTCTGCCTTTGGCTCAGGTCATGATCCCGGGGTCCCGGGATCGAGCCCCGCATCAGGCTCCCTGCTCGGCGGGAAACCTACTTCTCCCTCTCCCACTCCCCCTGCTTGTGTTCCTGCTCCCGCTATCTCTCTCTGTCAAATAAATAAATAAAATCTTAAAAAAAAAAAAAAATGGTTAGGATGGTAAATTGTTATGTTTTTTACTACAATAAAAAAATTTTGGGGGCGCCTGGGTGGCTCAGTTGGTTAAGCGACTGCCTTCAGCTCAGGTCATGATCCCAGGGTCCTGGGATCAAGTCCCGCATCGGGCTCCCTGCTCTGCGGGGAGCCTGCTTCTCCCTCTCCCACTCCCCCTGCTTGTGTTCCCTCTCTCGCTGTGTCTCTCTCTGTCAAATAAATAAATAAAATCTTTAAAAAAAAAAAAATTTTTTTTTTAGGGGTACCTGGGTGACTCAGTTGGTTAAGTGTCTGCCTTCAGCTCAGGTCATGATCCCAGGATCCTGGGATAAAGCCCCAGGTCAGGCTCCCTGCTCCACAGGAGCCTGCTTCTCTCTCTCCCCAACTGTGCTCTCTCTCGTTATCTCTGTCACTATCTCTGTTGCTATCTCTCAAATAAATAAAATCTTTTAAAAAATTGTAAACAAATGTATCTGAAAAGTTATCCACGCTAATGTCGACAATGTCCAAAGGCCAAACCAGTGGCAGAGAGCAAGCTGGTTCCATAGCAAGGAAATACGTAACATGACAGGGAAAGCATAAATTAGCAAGTTAAATTAAATGTGAAAGTTTAAGTATGAAATGTTCAATATCACCTTGAAAAGCCAATACATTCAACAAATTTTTTTTAAAGATTTTATTTATTTGACAGAGAGAGACACCGCGAGAGAGGGAACACAAGCAGGGGGAGTGGGAGAGGGAGAAGCAGGCTTCCCGCTGAGCAGGGAGCCCGATGTGGGACTCGATCCCAGGACTCCAGGACCATGACCTGAGCCGAAGGCAGATGCTTAACGACTGAGCCACCCAGGCGCCCCATTCAATAAATTTTTTTAAACCTCCAATTTTGAAAAGGAAAAACATCTATACCTCCTTGAAACTGAAAAGATAACAAAAGACAGTAAAATGAATTTTTCTTCCTGGAACAAACCTCGTTCCCAGTATCATCCAACATTTCAAGATTAATGTGGTAGGTTTCCATTACAAAAAATAATTTGTAAGTGATTTATATATGGCAAAATGATTATCAGCTGCACAGTCTACTCTTACTGAATTGAATGGCTCTCAATTCGTACTACTGCCAAGCAAAGATAAGGCATGATATAAAAGGCAGTTCTTCTTAAAGCTTAGTATCCTCCCAAATTTTATTTATACAGGTGCATTAGCTTTCCACTCTAAATGAAACAGCCAGCATGCAGTTCACTTTGCTAAAGACTGGTATTTTGTTGGAATGCTGTATATTACATGACCAAAGGTTTATAAAATCCAGTCCACTGCCTGTTTCTCTGTGGCCCACAAGCTAAGAACAGTTTTTTGATTTTTAAATGGTTGGAAGGAAATTTTATTTTATTTCATTTTTTTTAAGGTTTATTTATTTCAGAGAGAGAGAGCATGAGTGGGAGGGGCAGAGGGAGAGAGAGAATCTAAAGCAGACTCCGCGCTGAGCAGGGAGCCCAACACAGGACCGGATCTCATGACCCTGAGATCACAACCTGAACTGAAACAGAGTCAGACACTTAATCGACTGCACCACCCAGGCACCTCTGGAAAGAAATTTTAAAGAATAAAGAATAATATTTCCGGGCACCTGGGTGGCTCAGTCAGTTGAGCATCTATCTGCCTTCAGCTTGTGATCTCGAGGTCCTGGGATCAAGCCCATGTTGGGCTCCCCACTCAGCGAGGAGTCCGCTTCTCCCTCTCCCTCTACACCCGACTTGTGCTTTGTCTCTCTCCCCCTCAAATAAACAAAATCCTTTTTTAAAAAAAAGTCATATTTCAGGACACATATTACATGAAATTCAAATTTCAGTGTCCATAAATAAAATTTTATCAAAACACAGCACACTCATTCACTACACATTGTCTATGATGGCTTTCATGTAACAGCAGAGTCAAGCAGTTATAATTGAGATGGCATGACCTGAAAAGCCTAAAATCTTTACTCTCCTGCCCTTTATAGAAAAAAACCTGTCTATTCCTGTTCTAGACCACTCCTTTTTCATCCTTATAAAAAGTTTTCTTTTATACTAAGAGTGTTCTGTGAAAACACATTTCGTAAGGCCACAAAGTAAAACACCTGCGCCACACACCAGTCAAAAAATGGAAACAAACTTCATACAATTAAGCATATAAGATGTCAATTTTGTTGGCCTAAAATGTTTTTCAAATTTTAGACCCACTTGGAGTTTCTAATTCCATAGGTCAGGCCCAAGAATTTGCATTTCTAAGAAGTTCTAGGTGAGGGGCACCTGGGTGGCTCAGTCGTTAAGCGTCTGCCTTCGGCTCAGGTCATGATCCCAGGGTCCTGGGATCGAGCCCTGCATCAGGCTCCCTGCCTGGCGGGAAGCCTGCTTCTCCCTCTCCCACTCCCCCGGCTTGTGTTCCCTCTCTGCTCTCTCTCTCTGTTGAATAAATAAATAAAATCTTAAAAAAAAAAAAAAAAAAGAAGTTCTAGGTGACACAACTGGAGTGGGAACCCACTTTAAGAACCACTAAACTGGGGCACCTGGGTGGCTCAGTCGGCTAAGCGTCTGCCTTCGGCTCAGGTCATGACCCTGGAGTCCTGTGATCCGCCCCGCACAAGGCTCCCTGCTCAGGGGGGAGTCTGCTTCTCCCTCTGCCCCTCCCCCTGCTGTGCCCCCCCCCCTCAAATAAATAAGTAAAATATTCAAAAAAAAAGAACCACTAAACTTTTTTTAAAAATCTGTTTCAGGTATTACTACACATCTTAGTTAAAGAATATGCTGTATTATAATTTAAAAGTTAAAGGGGAGCCTGGGTGGCTCAATCAGTTAAGCTTCTGACTTAGGCTCAGGTCATGACCTCAGGGTCCTGGCATCCAGCCCCGAGGCAGTCTGCTTCTCCCTCTCCCTCTGCTCTCCCCCCGCCCACGGCTCTTCCTCTCTCTCTAATAAAATCTTTTTAAAATTTTAAAAAATTAAAAACCAGTTAAACAATTTTTTTTAAAGATTTTCTTTATTTATTTGACAGAGAGAGAGACAGCGAGAGACGGAACATAAGCAGGGGGAGTGGGAGAAGGAGAAGCAGGCTTCCCGCGGTGCAGAGAGCCCGATTTGGGGCTCAATCCCACGACCCTGTGATCATGACCTGAGCCGAAGGCAGACGCCTAACGACTGAGCACCCAGGCACCCCGAGTTAAAGAATTTTTAA